CTCGCTGTGCCTCCTATTTCCTATAATCCGCATTTTGCCTTTCACCCATCATTATGTCCTATCAATCAACCTCCCCTCTCCTCCTCCTCCCTTTTTATTTATGCCCATTTCGACTTTTAATAAAACAGCGTGGAGTTTGTTCAGCAGGGAATTCATTATGAGCTATTTTCCCATTAACATAATCCCTTTAAACATGCTACAAGCAATCAGCCAGTCATTGCTGCCAGCCAGTCTGTCAGATATTCATCCAGCCGCTTAGTCAGCCTATCAGTTAAAGTTGCTATGGGTAATAGAGAGGAGCTGAGCCTTAGTATGATTCCATGGCAACAAGCCTTGTTAAATGTTTATGTTGGTTAACCACACAGTGGAAAAAGGGGCGCTCGTTTAGTCAAATTAAATCCCGTATAAAGAAAAGTCTGTGTTTTTCATTCTTGCATGATATTCACAGGGCTTTGGTGAATACCTGCAGCCGATGTTAATGTGGCATTTGCTTTGCCCAAGAAGCACTCCTGGGTTTTGTTACCCAATAGCGCAGTCCCTCCCAAACATGGCTACTTATACACATTTTTGCATTTGGAAGCGGCTACAGGAAAAGACTGTGACGTCATCTGTTTTAATCAGACTGAAGCTATAAGGACAGCAGTCACACATCTTTACTTTCTTTAATTGAAAATGAAATGATGAAACAAGTGACTATTTCCCCGCCAGTGGGGTTATAAATTAACCACATGATTCTGTGTTTGGGGATTTTTGCTTGACAAAACTTTGACTGTTTGCTGTTGATTACTAGACTAGGACGAGACGCCAGTATGTGGCCAACGTCTCTGGGAGGTGTGGCATATGCTAATGTTACGCTGCTCAGCTGCTGCTTTAAGACGCTTGTATTTTATAGGCACGCACAGCCTTCCAAAGGCAGGACCATCTGTTTGATACTAGTTTGATTTGCAGACGTTGATCTTTTATTACGCATGTTCTGGATGTTGTGTTCGCTTAGTTGTAATGAGCCCCAGTTGCAATTTGGGTACTTATCTTCAATTATCTCCTGCCTTCTTCTCCAGGTCGCTCTTAGAAAAGACATTTTTAATCTCAAGGAGATTTTTTTCCAAGATAAATAAATGATGATAAAGAAAATAGTTACATTATCAGCTTTTACATGTGCTACTTTGACAGCAGTCACCTGTTTTTACTGTAACTGCCGAGCTATAAATATGTGTTGCTAAGAAATTTGCTCAGTAATATTTAAACCTTCATACATGCTTACCAATGGAGCAGTTAACATTTGCTAATATAGCCTGGCCACCTAGAAAAGCAGATTAATAAAATGTCGAAGGGGTTAGGGTTACTTTGTAAACATTTCAGCTTTATTGTTACTTTTTCTAACTGGGAAAAAATGGAGCTAATTGGTCCGCCAATGATTGATAGCACACGCCGGTGGTGATGCTATGGTCTGCCAGTAAAAGACACCAATTGCAGCTTCTTTAATGATGATAATAATAATAATAAATAAAATTCATATCTGGTTTATTTGTAGTTGATTTAAATTTAACCAGCTAGTTTCATGGTTGATTAGCAGATGTTTGAAGAGGAAACACGGCTGTCTTTTCCACTTGTGCTCTACTGCTAAATTTTCATCTAATTCCTAATAAAATAAAAATATTATGGATGAACGTGTGCACGTCCTTAACACTTATTAGAGAGCAGTGGACTATATTAATGCCAGTGACACTGGTTGATCGTTGTAGCATCAATAGATGCCTCAACCCACCTAAAACAACTATGGAGTAATGTGTGTTGGTGCGTGGAGTACTAAAAAAAGCTACATAGGCCCAAAACAAGACAGAACTTGAAATAATTCAATATTTTGTAATCAGACAAACGTAGAACAGAGCACTGAAAGTGCATTAAAGTTAGAAGAGAAATATAAACAGATGGGTAAGACTAATGGTTAAAGAAGTTTGGCTAACATTAACTGAAACACAACCATTTAAAGCATCATGCAGGTCAAAGTCAGTTAAACTTCTCTGGATAATATCAGATTCAGTTGATAAAGCGGACCTAGAGGCCATGTGGTAAGAGCTATGATGATATGTCCAAAGCGGGGGAAAGGGTGGGAACAGCTGCAACAGTGCCTCCAAATCCCATAACACCCCCGTCAC